TGAGGCGTTGGCTTTAGCCGCAGCGGCGGCAGCGGCAGCAACAGCAGCAGCGGGAGCAGCAACAGCAGCAGAAAAGACAAGTCACCTGCACTTTGCATTCTTCTTTGCTGCCCCCGAATTCAATTTCAACAAAGGCAGAAAGGTGATCGGACATGTAATTCGTAATGGCCAAGTTCCACAAGACAACTTTCCATCTGAAAAGCGAAACCAAGAAAGCCAAAAAAGCCTCAAGACAAAAGACAAAGAGAGATGTTAGTGCACTAGCATAACAAAAAAATGCAATGGCACCATGCATGCACATACATGTGCATGCGTGCATGCATGCACGCAGCAAGCATGCATGCATACACACAAGCATGCATGCATGCAAGCACGCATGCATATACACACATACAGAAGCGCATTCACATACGCGTGCATGCATGTATGCATGCATGGACGCATACAGATCAACGCATACACCAATGCATGCGAGGCTGAACTGCACACAAGGACAAACCTTTTACTTCTGCTGCCTCAAATGTGCACCGCCCCACACATATACAGGCTTTTAGGCCAATTTTTTATAGATATATATATATGGATAATTTTTATATATAAATAAATACATACAAATCTTTTGTGCATTCACGCAAACATGCATTTACATGCATGCACATATGCTTGCTGGGGCATGCATGCTGTGAAAATTTTCATCTGCATGTGCACGCATATATACAAATAATTTTAAAAAGAAATGAAAACGGGAAAAGTAGCAATGAGGCCTTCAAGCTTGCGCAGCTGTCCATACACCGCAGCGCACTACCACTGAGCGTCTGCGAGAAGATTTGAAGTGGTTTTAACTGCAGTTATTTAATTCCAGTTATTCTATTTCTGCAATCTAAAAACCTTCTAAATAACTCCAAAAAGAGCCTAATGCTGCATGCACGGCCACAGACTTCTTCATTTTCAACTTAGTAAAATCCCCCACCTCCTCGGGTGCTGCCAGTGCCTTTTCTCGTCTTCAGTTTCCCCCTTTTCTTCCGGAGGCTGTTGCACAATTTCAAGAAACTCTTCATAAGTATATTCAGCAGCTCCTGACAAGCATGCAGACACCCATACGCTGCTGCTGCTTTAGTGGCTGCTGCGCTGCTGTTGCTGCTGCTGCTGCTGCAGCCTGGTGCTGCCGTAGCTCCTGCTGCCCCTGAGATGGCTCATTCAGCTGCTGCTGCTGCTGCTGCTTCTACTTCTGCCGATGCGCCAGCAACAAATCAACACAGTGTCCTCAGCAGCTGCAGCAGCAACAGCAGCAGCTGCTGTTGCAGCTGCAGCACCAGCTGCTGCAAACCAACGCCCAGCAGCAGTAGCAGCAGCAAAAGCTGCCCCGCTAGCGAACGCAAATGCTGCTGCAGCATTCCCAAGTGCAGAAAGCGCAGCAGCAGCAGCGCCTGCAGCAGCAGCAGTACTGCCAGCAGCAACAGAGCCGAAAGCAGCATTAGCAGCAACCCCAAAAACAGATGCACCAGCAACAGCAGCAGCAGCAGCAGCAAGAGGCCTGACCGAGATATTCATCAAAGAGCATCTTCTCCACTTCTGCCTCATCCAGAGGCTCTGCTCCCTCGGGAACTGGAGGAGTTATTTCATTTTCAGCTGAGGCGCCTCCTTGCTGCTCGGGGGGGGGGCCCCCAGGGGGGCCCCCCTGAGGGGTCCCCGGGGGCCCCGTGGGTGCGGGCGTCTGCGATGGGGGCGGGTTCTTGTGCTGCCCCGGCAGCATATCTTTGAGTCCCGCGAACATTTTGGCGACAGATTTTGGACAATTTGGAGTCTTAAGAAGGGCAACAGAACTCGAATGTCCTCGGGGGCCTCCCGAGACTCCTTAAAGGCCAAAAAGAGCAAAAAATAGAGTTAATTGGCCAAAAAATTGAGGCAAAGAGGCCCAAGAGATGGCCATTCAACTCCGGGCCAGGGGCCCCCGTTGGGCCCCCGGCAGAAAACGGGGGGCCCCGAGAAGAAAAGAAGCATAGGGAATCGCCGAGCCTAGAAGAAGCGAGATGAACACAGACTCGGGTTTAGGGTTTAGGGTTTAGGGTTTAGGGTTTGAAGCGCCTCGAGCCTTTCGCCATCGAGGGCAGACCCCTGGTCTGTGTTTGTCTCGCGAGTTGCAGCTCGGGCTGCGTCTGGGGGCCCCAAGGGTTTGTGCTTCAACAATTTAAATATTTAGACAAATGAAAGGAAAATTAAAAGAAAAACTTCAACTAAATATCCCTTTGAGCCCCAACTGGCCGCACGCGTACTGGCTGTCCACCGGCGCTGTCCGTACACCTCGTGTCCGGTCCATTGAGCAGTGCATGTTCGTTCAGTGTGCACTACGAAAGTTAACTCCAGAAAAGGAAAAGAATAAAATTAAATAAATCACATCGATTTAGAGTGTAGCTTTTCATCAAAAGTAGCCGGGGGCCCCGGGCCAACAACCCCTTTGCTGCAGATGCGAAGTGGCTTGCTGATGCTTCATAACTCGACTACCATTTGCTGCGCGGGAGTACACGGGACTCACACAGTGCGCAGCCAAGGCCTGATTTGCATTAACATCTTCTGCTGCAGCTTTCTTGAGCCTCCAGCTCGAGAAGTTGAGCTATAAGCACTTCAGCACAACGCAGCAAAAAATAGCAGCTCAGCTTTCCCCAGCCGCCTGCACTTTTGGTCTTTAATGCAAAATAAGTCCTTTGAACAGACAGAAACTCAGTGCCCCCACAGGGTTCCCAAGAAGCAGCCAGTTTCGCTTATCTATGGCTTGCTGCTGCTGCGGGGTTCCAGGCTTTCTTTGTGTGCAGCTTCTAAGTTGAAAAGCTTATCTATGGCTTGCTGCTGCTGCGGGGATTTAAGCTTTCTCTGTGTGCAGCTTTTAAGTCAATGTGTGCTGGGAGCTGCAGTGAAGTGTGTGGGCTGCAGCACTCGCAAGGTATTGTCGTTTTTAAATAAAAGTTCTTTTCACTTCACTCAACGAAACCGGATTTTAAGAATTGCAAAAATCAAATATTTTGATTGTTGATGCAGCTTGGCAGTGCCTCCGGTCTGGGGTATAACACCGCTTTATGCCAGCAGCAGCAGCAGAAGCAACTGCACCCAGCAGCAGCTGCAGCGCAGCAGCTGTGCAGCTTCTGGGGTTCAGAAAGAGGAGCCAAAAAGGAGTTGAAACTAATTAACTAATTTAAAACACTTTGTCGAATTTGCTTTCCCAAGGAACTCTAAATCTAAAGATGCCCAGGTGTACGTACACCGCAGCACAGCACCCAGCTTGCAGCAAAGACCTGCCGGCCTCGAGCTGATTTTTATCCGCAATAAATGCTAAAAAAGGATAAATAAATAGCTCTTTAGGTCCAATAAAATGAGACTTGAGTGAGTTATTTCAAACAAGAACAATTAAAGAGATACTCGGCTCAGAAGACAAGACAAACGAGCAACAAAAGAATAAATTGCAGCAAAAGCAAAAGCTGCAGACAGCCGCAGGAGCAGCTAAGGAGGCAGAAAAGAAACAAAAAAGAAGAAAAAGAAATTCCAGAAAGATGTAGAAACGCTGGGGATTTAACTGTTCTCAAGTTGGCATTTGTACTTTTATTTGTTCGTGTAAAAACCAAGCTCCCAGATGCGGAAATGGATTTCCTCGATGCGTCTGCTGCTGCTGCGTTCGCTGCAGAAGCAGCAGCTGCTGCTGTTGCTGCTGCTGCTGCTG